TACAGCCTACACAGACTATAGCATAGGATATAAGTTTGACAAAGCCCTTTGATCCCAATGGTCTAGTGGCTGGGATTTCGACAGCACCCACACGAGAAAAGTTACCCGATACACGACCGCGAAATGCTCGCGATCGTGCACGCGTTCAAAGTGTGGCACTGCTACTTGACTGGCGCATACGTGACAGTACGGACAGACCACAGATCACTACAGTACCTCCGCGCACAACCCCACCTCAACCCATGACAGATCCGCTGGCTCGACTTCGTCTGGTCGAACTTCTACTACACGGTCACCTACAAAAAGGGTGCTATTGCCGATACACTGACCCGCCCGACTTCCCAGCTACATGCAATACTACTCGCCTAGACCAGCCCACTACTCACGGGATTATTCACCCCCAGTTACCAAAAAGACCCGTTCTTCACAGGATGAAAATCGCAGCAGTTTGCAGTAGCACAAGGGTGTATTACGTAAAAGCTAGCACCGATCGCATCTGGGTACCAGGCTATACCTTACTACGGGAATTACTACTATAAGAGGCTCACGACGGAGTTACCTTGGGACATTTCGGGATCGAAAAAACGCGATAGCAGCTGCAGCGGTATTATTATTGGCCCGAGATGCTGACTGACGTGCAACGATACGTGGCATCGTGTCCCACCTGCCAGCTCATGCAGTCGTAACGATAACGACCGGCAGGACAATTGCAGCCGATATCACCCCCAGAGCGTGGTTGGCAGCAAGTGACGATGGACTTCGTCACAGGGTTACTGGCTGGAACAAGTGGGAATGATGCGATCCTGGTCATCGTCGATCGGCTCACGAAAATGGTCCATTTCGCTGCATGCAAGAAATCTATATCAACCAAACAGCACGACTCTTCATCACCACCGTTGTGAGGATCTGGTTCAGGAAAGAGAAATCTATTCAATGATTCACCTGGGCTCAAGGCGAGGCTATCTATAGGCTCGACACAAGGCAAGTAATCCCGGTGTAATGCGAATGTTCTTGGGGTCGCGAAGCGTCCCGAACAGAACCTTCCCGAACTCGGTAGAAAGCAATTCGGTGGAAACCGAATAGACACGTAACCTGGTTCAGTGCTATAACTATAATAACATTTAGGATTGCACCTAACCTAGGAAATCAAGCATATCTATGCATGATAAATAAAACCTAAGCTAGTAATAGCATAATAAAGTTCATGCAAGCTAGCAGAGCCAGCATAAGCCGTCGTACTCTCACTCGTCCTCCCCTCAAAGCTGGGTGGCGTAAGAAACACCCTGCTTTACTTTGTAGTCCTTGAGAGCACAGCGTGCGTTGCCCATATCAGCTTCTACAACCCAATTGTCCTCAGACGGATCGTATCCCTTTCAGCGTATCAGAATCTCGAGCGTGTTGCCGCATCTGCATCGATGAGCGAGCACTCGTTCCACCTTGTACTCTGGTTCATCCTGTACGAGAACAGGTGGTGGTGGCGGTAGCTGGCGTCCCTGGAACTGCTGGTTGGGGTCCTTGTAGGGCTTCAGTAGCTGAACATGGAAAGCGTTGTGAAACTTCCATGTAGTAGGTAAGCGCAAGCAGAATGTTACTGGTATCACCTGTGCCTCAACGTGAAAAGGACCACAGAAGCGAGGCCGGAGCTTGGATGGTAGGTGAGACAGGTTCAAGTTGCGCGTGTCGAGAAGCACCTGATCTCCGACTGCCACGGTGTGATCACGTCGCTCGCGATTGACATATTGCTTCTGGGAGGTCTGCATCGTGGTGAGGCGTCGCTGAGTCTTCTCCCATAGCTGCTGCATGGTGTTAACAAAGTTATGTGCGGCTTGGACGTGTGCCGGTGTGGTTGGCTGCTGTGGTGTAAGTGGTTCTCGTCCGTAACACAGGAAGAAAGGAGATTTTCCAGTGGCCGCAGGTGAAGCGTTGTTGTAAGCGAACTCAAGCGTTGGTAACTATAGATCCCAGTGGCTGATGTTTTCTTCGCAAGTTGTGCGCAGTAACTGTTCAACCACCTGATTGAGTCTCTCAGTCTGTCCGTAAGTCTGGGGGTGGTATGCTGAAGACATCGCAAGCTTAGTCCCCAACAAACCCATGAGTTCCCTCAAGAATTTAATTGTGAACTTTGGGTCTCTGTCCGAGATGAGTGTAGCGGGGATGCCGTAGATGGTGATGACGCGGTCGAAGAAGAGGCGAGCAGTTGCTTCAGCTATAGCCGTGGCGTTGGTCAGGATGAAGTGTCCCATTTTAGAGAACTTGTTGATCACCACGAGTATAGCGTCATGCCCTCGTGAGGTCGAAGGTAGCTTAGTGATCAAGTCTAGGCTGACGACTTGCCATGGCTGCTCCGGTACGGGTAGAGGATGAAGTAATCCTGCTTTTTTCTGCTTGCTACTCTTCATCCGCTGACACGTGTCGCAAGAGGTGATGAACTTCTGCACGTCTGCTGCCATCCACGGCTAGTAGTAATACTTTGCTATTCCCGCTAATGTCTTTGTTGCTCACGAAATGTCCCGCATATGCCACATCGTGGAACTCCTCCATTAAGATCTGTCGGAGCGGGGCATAGTTCGGTATCCAAATATTTCCTGTTCCCTTTCTTACAGCTAAGTCTTCCCTCTGTAACAACTTCTGTTTTTCTGCTGTAGTAATCTATGCATCCACGGAGTATCCATGTTGGAAAAGACCCTTGAGTAGAGGGTTCATCCCGTCGAGCTGGATGCCTGCTACATGTTCAGGGAGGCTCAACGCGTCCGCTATTTTGTGTGGCCTGGGTTTGTAGTGTCAAATTATAATATTGTGTAGGCTATAGTGGGGTAGCCTATATGGGGTACACATTTCTAGGGTTGCATATTTGTATCACTCCCATTCCTTAGTCATTCATTCTCGTTCTACTTTTCTCATGGTATCAGAGCAGGTTCCCCTTTGGGAACTGTGCCTAGGGCCCACCACATCGAGTTTCATTTTTTTTTCTCTCCTGCCCGAAGCGCGCTCCGCCCGAGTCGCGCTCCGGGCTCTCACCTCGCCTAGCCGCCCTAGCGGCCCCCTACGCCCTAGCGGCCCCTTCCCTTAGCGGCCCCGCCGCCCTTCGTTTCGGCCCCGCCGCCCTTTAGTGCGGCCCCGCCGCCAGTCACAGCGGCCTCGCCGCCCTACTCAGCGGCCCCGCCGCCCTCCTCCTCAGCGGCACCGCCGCCCTGCTCAGCGGCCCCGCCGCCCTACTCAGAGGCCCCGCCGCCCTTCCGCAGCCTCCTCGCCGCCCTTCTCAGCGGCCCAGCCGCCCCTCGCACCAGCGGCCCTGCCGCCCTACACCGCCCGCGCCGCCCGAGCCGCCTGAACCGCCCGAGCCTCCCGAGCCGCCCGACCTGCCCGAGCTGCCCGAGCCGCCCGAGCCGCCCGACTCTCCTGAGCCGCCCGAGCCGCCCGAGCCGCCCGAGCCACCCGAGCCGCCTGAGCCGCCCGAGCCGCCTGAGCCGCCCGAGCCGCCTGAGGAGCCGAGCCGCTGGTACCACGGAGCCGCAGTTGCTGCTGTGCCGTCCGAGCAGCCGTGTTGCCGTGCTGCTGTACCGCTGAGCTGCCCGACCCGCCCTGCCTGGTGAGAGCAGCGCTTCTGTCACTGCACTGCCCCTGTCCTACAATTGGTACTGCTAGTCCACTGTTGTCATGGCTACCCCCAGTGTTCTCGCTTTTGACGGTGAGGGTCGAGCCATTGACTTTGAGGTTTGGGTGGATGACCTGCAGCTTTTCCTACAGTGCGATAGGGCAGACGGTCTTTCCCTCTTTGACCTCACCTCTGGTGCTTCCCCTGCCCCTGCTGCCGATGCCGACGCCACTGTTCGCTCCCAGTGGGCCACTCGCGATGCTGCTGCACGTCTTGCTGTGCGTCGCCACCTGCCTACCACTGAGCGCGCGCACTTTAGCCAGTACAAGAGTGCTCAGACCTTGTACGACGCTGTCGTTGCACGCTACTCCTCCCCTGCCACTGCTGCACTGAGCCGCCTCATGCTACCGTACCTCTTTCCTGACCTTGTTGCCTTTCCCACAGTCGCTGACCTCATTACGCACCTCCGCACTAGTGACACTCGCTACCGCGCCGCACTTCTTGCTGAGTTCTGCGCCAAGAACCCCCCCCCATGTACATCACTCTCTATTATATAGTCACCCGCCTCCCTGACTCCCTTCATGTAGTCAGGGACCACTTCCTCTCAGTCTGTCCCACCACTCTCACTGTTGACCTCCTAGAGAAGGCCCTCCTAGCGGCGGAGAAGAGCATAGTCGCTGTAGGAGCCTCTCGTGGTGACCCTCGCACCCCCATCTTTGAGGGGTGTTCCCCTTCCCCCCTGTTGCCCTCTGTCGCCTCTGCTGCTGCGGCCGACCTCGTTGGTCTTGAGTCGGTCGGTGCGGCGTCTGCCCCTAGCGGGAGACGCCGCTCTGGCAAGGGCAAGGGGGGCAAGGGCGCGGGTGGGGCTAGCGGGGGTGGTGGAGGTGGCGGTGGAGGCCGCGGGGGGAGTGGGGGTGGCGGTGGGGGTGGTGGCGGGGGTGGAGGTGGTGGTGGCAGCGGCGGAGGCGGAGGCGGCGGTGGCGGTAGCGGTGGGAGCGGAGGCGGCGGTGGCGGCGGAGGTGGAGGCGGCGGTGGTGGAGGTGGAGCTGGTCGGGGTGGTTCTTCTCAGCGGAGCGGCTCCGGGAGTGGTCGGCACCAGCAGCAGCAGCAGCAGCAGCAGCAGCAGCAGCGTTCTCGGGACATCCCCCCTCCTCAGCAGCTCCGTGAGTGGTACACGCAGCGTCAGCGTGTTGGGGGTTTTGGCCCGTGCACCTACGTCCTTCGCTACGGCGACCTTGCGGGTGAGCAGTGTGGGGGTGCTCACCCCACCCAGCGCTGCTTTGGCCGCCTGACGGACGCTTGGCGTCAGCAGTTCCCGGAGGCTAGTGAGATCCCCCGCTGGGGAGAGCTGTCTAGGGCAGGTGTAGCTATCTTTGATCTTGACTTTGATGCTATCCTTGCTGCCATGTATGCTGTGACTATTAGTGATGAGGGTGACTGTTACCGGTGTTTCCCGTCCGACCTGGGCATTGGTGAGGCTGGTACTGGTGAGGCTGCTGCTCTAGGTGCCAGTGCGTCCGCGCCCTCAGGTGCTGGTGAGTCTGCGCTCTCACGTACCACGTCGGCTTCGGCCTCCCTCACCTTCACACTTGACTCAGGGGATTCTCGCTCCTTCTTTCGAGACCGCACCACACTCACGCCGCTTGGTCGGCCAGTTGCAGTCTCCCTGGCAGACCCCTCTGGGGGTCTTGTCCTCTCTCACTTCTCCACTGTCCTCCCGTGTCCGGCTGCCCCCTCTGGCACCTTGTCTGGTCTTTACCTCCCCTCGTTCTCTACGAACTTGGTGAGTGGTGCTGACCTGCAGGATGCGGGGGTTCACCAGTTCACTCCTGCGAGTCAGCGGGTGACCCACTGCACGGACGCTCGCACAGGCCGACACCTGGCCACGTTTACACGTCGGCCGGGGTCGAGCCTATACACACTGACCACTGCGTCTCCTCCAGTCACTGCGTCTGGTCAGGTAGCTGCGTCGGGTCAGGTGTTTACTGCAGCGTCCAGGTCTGGTCCTGAGTCTGCCCCCTGCTCGTGTCGCCTCCTGTCTGGCACCACCGTCTTGGTCACCCCTCCCTGCCTCGTCTCCGAGGCATGGCTTCCCGTGTCCTTGTCTCTGGTCTTCCCCGGTCCCTCCCTCCCCTTCCTCCGTGGACTGGTCCTTCCTGTGTCCCCTGTGTCGAGGGGCGGCTCCGGGCTGCCCCTCAGTCCTCTCAGTTTCCCCCGACAGAGGCCCTGCTGCAGACGCTTCACATGGACGTGTGGGGCCCGGCCCGCGTCCGTGGACAGGGTCACGAGCGCTACTTCCTACTGGTGGTTGACGACTACTCGCGTTACACCACAGTCTTCCCCTTGCGCAGCAAAGGTGATGTCGCTGAGGTGTTGATTGACTGGATCCACGCAGCTCGTCTCCAGCTCAGGAGGAGCTTCGGCTCGGACTTTCCTGTTCTGCGTCTGCACTCTGACCAAGGCGGAGAGTTCTCCTCTGGCCTTCTGCGAGCCTACTGTCGTGCGCGAGGCATCCGCCTGACCTTTACGCTTCTGGACTCTCCACAGCAAAATGGGATTGCTGAGCGCCGCATTGGCATGGTCATGGACGTTGCCCGTACGTCCATGATGCATGCGGCTGCCCCCCATTTTCTGTGGTCGTTTGCGGTTCGGTACGCGGCGCATCAGATCAACCTTCACCCCAGGGTCTCTAGGTCGGAGACCTCCCCAGCCTTGCTGTGGACGGGGAAGGTCGGCAATGCGTCTGCGTTCCGTATCTGGGGATCTCGGGCGTTTGGCCGCGACTTATCTGCGGACAAGCTGTCCCCTCGTGCTGCTCCCTGTGTCTTCCTTGGCTTCCCCCCTGACGCCCTTGGGTGGCATTTCTACCACCCCACCTCTCGTCGTGTTCTGTCCTCCCAACACGTCATGTTCGACGAATCAGTACCCTACTACCGCCTCTTCCCCTACCGCACTCCTTCCCTCCCCCCACCACCGCACTTCCTTGTGCCAGGTCCCCCCCCGGTAGACCCCCTCCCCCCTCAGGGTCGTGCCCCTTCAGGTGTGTCCCAGGTAGATGCCGTCGAGCCGGTCGAGGTTGCTGGTGACTCTGGTACTGCTGCGGGTGCTGAGCCTGGGGGTGCTGTCTCTAGGGGTGCTGCGACTGGGGGTGCAGCGACTGGGGGTGCTGAGCCTGGGGGTGCTACGACTGGGGGTGCTGAGCCTGGGGGTGCTTTGACTGGGGGTGCTGAGCCTGAGGGTCCTTCGCCTGGGGGTGCTGAGTCTGGAGCTCCTGAGCCTGGGGGTGCGGAGCCCACGGCCGCTGGACCTGCTCGTGTGGCGTCTGGCGGTGCTGGGCCTGGTGGTTCTCCGGGTGCTTCGTCTCGGCGGGAGCCACTCTCTCCACAGGAGCTGCGCGAGTGGTTTGCCCGGCGCTGGAGGCGTACTACTGGAGTTGGTGCTTCTTCGGCTTCTGAGGGTGCTGGTGCCGCCGGTCTCGGAGGTGCTAGTCCTGCCAGTGCTACTGGAGTTGGAGCTGCTGAGGGTGTTGGTGCTGAGGCTACTGCTGTCAGTCCTGGCGGCGGTCGTGCTGCGGGTGCTGCTGGTGCTGCTGTAGGGTCCTGGAGCTGGAGGTGATGTTGACGCTGGTGCTGCCGCTGAGGGTGCTGGTGCTGTCCCTGCTGCGTCTCAGGTCGCTGCGCGGCCTCGGCCGTACTTTGTTCCGCTCCTTCAGCAGGTTCTTGGTCATCCTCCTCCCTTAGAGTGTCCACCGCCTGTCCAATCGCAGTCACAGTTACCCCCGGCCTCCCCAGTGCCTTCTCCTTCTCCGTACACTGGTCCTACTCGAGGTCTTGCTGAGCGTCGTGAGCCTGCGTCTCGTCCTGCGTCGCCTGTTCGTGCTGCTCGCACTAGTGGTCGCAGTTCGCGTCAGCGACCTCCTCCTGTCCCTGGCACGCACCGGATGTCTCTGCGTCCGTCCACTGCTCCTCTGTGTGCCCCTTTGCCTTCTTCTCCTGAGTCCTCTCTTCCTGCACTTGCCGACCTGGAGTCGGACTCTCTTCGTGCTACGAGTCCTACTGTCACGCGTCTCCTTGCTACTTTCGTCACTGACCCCTTCTTTGAGTCCACTGCTACGTCTGCTCTTGTTGCTGAGCTCGTCGACTTTGCTGCTCGCTGTCGTCTAGACTACGCTGCTAGTCTTGTTGCTGAGTCTGCGTCTGTCTGTCCTCCGTCCGTCGGGGGTGAGTGTGCTCTTGGCACGGACGTCCTTGAGGACAGGCAGGAGGAGTTCCAGTGTCTGGCTGCTGCTTCACCTCATCTCGCGTCCGTACTGCTTACCCCTGAGGGAGACCCGGATGCACTAGACATCCCGACTCCGCGCTCTTACGCGGAGGCCGTAGAGGGTCCCTACTCCTCTCAGTGGCGGGCAGCTATGGATGCAAAGATGGCTTCCTGGAAGTCCACAGGCACCTACATTGACGTGGTTCCCATTTCTGGGGCGAACATCATCAGTGGCATGTGGATCTTCAGGGTGAAGCGGCCGCCGGGCTCTCCATGTGTCTTCAAGGCACGGTACGTGGCTCGTGGCTTCAGTCAGCGGCAGGGAGTTGACTACTTTCAGACCTTCTCTCCCACCCCGAAGATGAACACTCTTCGGGTGCTGCTATACGTAGCCGCTCAGCGCGACTACGAGCTTCACTCTCTTGACTTCAACACAGCTTTCCTGCAGGGTAGCCTGCACGAGGAGATCTGGTTGCGCCGTCCACCTGGCTTCACTGGGACTTTCCCTCCTGGCACCCAGTGGAGCCTCCGACAGCCAGTCTACGGTCTCCGCCAGGCACCACGCGAGTGGCACGACACACTGAGGACTACACTTGCGGCTCTTGGGTTTGCTCCCTCTACTGCTGACCCGTCACTGTTTCTGCGCACCGACACCTCTCTGCCGCCGTTCTACATCCCCGTGTACGTCGACGACTTGGTCTTTGCCACAGCTGACACTGCTGGACTCGCCCACGTGAAGTCCGAGCTGCAGAAGAGACACACGTGCACAGACCTGGGTGAATTGCGCAGCTACCTTGGCTTGCAGATCACCCGGGACAGAGCACGCCGCACCATTACCCTGACTCAGTCACACATGGTGCAGCAGGTCCTTCAGCGCTTCGGCTTCACGTACTCCTCGCCTCAGGCCACTCCTCTGTCTACTCGCCACTCGCTCTCAGCGCTGCCTTCGGATGAGTCCGTAGAGTCGAGTGGCCCGTACCCAGAGCTTGTTGGCTGCCTCATGTACCTGATGACCTGCACACGACCTGACCTTGCATGCCCTCTTAGCATTCTTGCACGCTATGTTGCTCCTGGGAGACACCGACCAGAGCACATGGCTGCAGCGAAGAGGGTGTTGCGCTACTTGTGCAGTACGTCGGGCATGGGGCTAGTGCTTGGAGGGCGGAGTCCAGTGGTCCTCACTGGGCACGCGGACGCTTCTTGGGTAGACGACCAGGCTACGCAGCGGTCGTCACAGGGCTACACCTTCAGCCTTGGTTCCGGCTCTGTTTCGTGGCGGGCTACTCGCTCGTCTTCTGTTCTTGGCTCCAGTTGTGAGGCTGAGATCTACGCAGGGGCCATGGCTGCACAGGAGCTTCGCTGGCTTACCTACCTGCTGACTGACCTCGGAGAGCCGCCTCGTTCTCCTCCGATGCTGTACGTAGACAACAAGGCCATGCTAGCGTTGTGTCGGGAGCAGCGCCTGGAGCACAGAACGAAGCACATTGCTCTCCGCTACTTTCTTGCTCGTGAGTTGCAGCAGCGTGGTCAGTTGCGGCTTGCCTACGTGGCCTCTTAGGCCAACACTGCTGATGTTTTCACCAAGGCACTTCCGCCTTGTGATCATCAGCGCTTTTGCACTCAGCTGGGTCTTGTGCCTGTCTTGCTTCACTTGCTCACCCCTTGACCTTGCTTGTACTCTTATATATATATGCACCTGCTCTTGCTTGTTTAGCCTTATGTATATATGTGTACTCCTGCATGTGAACTGGCCTTGTGGCCTTGACCTTGTGCTCGGACTGTGTGGTGACGTTGTGATCCACCCTGAGCTTTGTCTGCTTTGCTTGACTGGTCTTGTGACCCCTTGTTCTCCCCCACTTTGCCTATGGGGGTGTGTCAAATTATAATATTGTGTAGGCTATAGTGGGGTAGCCCATATGGGGTACACATTTCTAGGGTTGCATATTTGTATCACTCCCATTCCTTAGTCATTCATTCTCTTTCTACTTTTCTCATGTAGACGATGTCTTCATGGAAGTGAGTTTCCAAGAAGTTCACCCACCGCACCTGTCGTTGTGAGAGTGTCGGCTGCGACTGCTGGTATTTGATGCTGCAGTGGTCAGGGTAAACTTTAGTCTTGGCAACCCTCTAGATAACACCTCCACGCCTTGAAGGCTGTGACTATCGCTAAGGCTTCCCTGTCATGGATTGGGTAGTTCAGTTCTGCTCCGTGTAGCTTCTTACTGAGGTAGGCGATGGGCTGCTAACGTCGTCCGTGATTTTGCATCACTACTGCTTCGACTGCTTGGTCACTTGCGTCTGCTTCCACCACGTAGTCCTTGTCTGGGTCCGGTAGGATGAGTACTGGCGTTGTGGTCAGTGCTGTCTCTTGCTGCTCCATGGCTTGTTGTTGAGGAGTATCCCATTTGTAGGGCGTATCCTTTTTTAGTAGGTTGGTCAGTGGCGCTGCTATCTTAGCGTACTGCGGCATGAACCTGTTGTAGTAGTTGGCAAAGCCTAGGAACGGCTGCAACTCCTTCACGTTCTTCGGTACTTTCCACTTCTTGACGGCTTCGATCTTCCGGTTGACCCTGTCTATCTCGAGGTTGAACCGCTTCAGGAAATCTTACCCCAAGATGAAATATAATCCCTTGATGTTCGTGATCAGCAACGTCGGCTTCCACCTCAACGCCTCTATCTGCAGCTGCAATGTTGTCTCGCCGTGGATGGGAAGCTTCGTACCGTCCACCGTCGTTGCTGTAAATTGGGTCTCCTCTGAGGATTCTCCAATTTTCTCCAACGTCCCGCGGTCGCACACCAAGTGGGACGCACCACTGTCCAGTAGTGCCTGGAGGCGTCGCCCGTTGCAGATAACCTCGAGGAGTAGTGGCTGCTGCTGCTCCGAGTAGCTGCAGATGGTCTTGCTTACAGGATCATAAGGTACGTCAAATATATCTGTCGAGGAGAAAAGGCCCCGCCCTCGCTTGGGCAAAGCCGGCCATGCTTTTCGTAGCACAACGGTGTTCGTTTCATGGTCATCGGCGACTTTTGGGACTTTTATCTCTGTTCGACGGGTCGATTTCCGAGAAGATTAAGTCGTCGAAATTGAAGTGTTGTTTCAGCTCTACGCAACTGCCCGTCGACAAGGCACTTGTCGAGGGGAGCAAATCGGCGTCGAAATCGGGCCTTGCGGGTCGACGAAATTCGAGAAAATGGCGTTTCGACAAAACGTTTGTCAACAGAATTATGCTCGAACGAGTCATCGTCAAGCAGAAAACTTCTGGTCGACCAAAATTACCTGTCTCCAGAATCTGAAAATGTGCGCGAATTTCGACCAATCACGAAACAGCAATTTTCGACCAATCAGAGCATTTCGGAAATTGTACTCCCCAGGAGATTTCGAATCAGTAAGGAAACTGTGTGAAAATAAGTAGGTGAATGCTAGCAAGGCTTGAGCTAGGCTAAGGAGCCATAGCTAGTTAGGAGCCTTGGTTGATTGAGTTCGAGGAGTTAGAGAGTCGAGGAAGTTGAAAAGAGGAGGGTTTCACTATAGAGAGAGAAATACATATAGGCAAGAAGAAAGGTGCACCACCAAACAGAATATTGTATAACTACAGTAGTCTACACTACAGGCAGTTACAAAACAATATATAGATTTATATATTATTCTGACACGCCCCCATAAGTGCCTGTAGGGAAGAATATGCAGTCAACGCCCCCTGAAGGGGTACACCAAGAGTGCATAGTAGAACGGGAGAGGGCACGCAAGGAGGAGGAGAGAGGGAGAGAGAGGAGAAGAGATGGTAGGCCCCCCCTCCCCCTCCCCCTCCCCCTGCTGCAGGAGTATCAGAGGGGGGGGCACACGGAGGAGAAAGGGGCCGTAGGGCCAGGGGACCACACATCACCCATCACCCCCACACCCGCCACCCCCAGTCCCTCCCCGGGCTCCCCACACTCTCACACCCTCCCCCCCAGCGGCAGCTGCAGCAGAGGGAACAAAAGGAGGAGGAGAAGGGGGGGGGGGGGGGGGGGGACGCACGGCCGCCCCGGGCGCCAAAGCAAGCGGCAGAGGGGGCGACAACTGTCCACCCCGCGGCCCCCTCAGGTCGCCTCGACAGGTGACGGGAAGAAGGGGGGGGCGGTGCACTTGCCCCCGGTGTGCCGCAGTTGATGACGAGACAGGGCCGGGACGGGGTCGGGACCGCAAGTGGGTGGGGCGGCAGGTGGCGACGGGGCCTCAGGTGGCGGGGCCGCAGGTGACATAAGGGCCTCTGGTGGCGGGGCCGCAGGTATAGGAGACGGGGCCGGGGCCGAGAGCAGCGACGGGGCCGCAACAGAGGGCGGCGAGGCCGCAGTGAAGGGCGGCGACGGGGCCGTAGCAAGGGCGGCGGGGCCGCAGTGACGGGCGGCGAGGCCGCGACGTAGGGCGGCGGGGCCGCAGGAGTAGGGCGGCGAGGCCGCAGATTAGGGCGGCGGGGCCGCGAATCAGTGGCGGCGGGGCCGCGACAGCAGAGAGGCGGCGAGGCCGCGACAGTAAGGCGGCGGGGCCGCGACAGCAGAGGGCACACCACGGGGCGTGCAGTACACTCAGTAGCAGCGGAAGCAATAGGCCAGGATCGTAACTCTCTCTGATAGCATGTGAAAATAAGTAGGTGAATGCTAGCAAGGCTTGAGCTAGGCTAAGGAGCCATAGCTAGTTAGGAGCCTTGGTTGATTGAGTTCGAGTAGTTTGAGAGTCGAGGAAGTTGAAAAGAGGAGGGTTTCACTATAGAGAGAGAAATACATATAGGCAAGAAGAAAGGTGCACCACCAAACAGAATATTGTATAACTACAGTAGTCTACACTACAGGCAGTTACAAAACAATATATAGATTTATATATTATTCTGACAAACTGAACCTGAAACACGTTTTTACTAATAGTAAAAACGTAAACAACTCTGAACGTTGGAATCCTGAGAAGCTGCCAACTCAGGGGAAAGACACATACGGTTGTCGTTTCACCTGGCGTTGCTGACTCGGAAAGGTCGAGCGTTCGTCGAGGAACGTTTCTCCAGGGTTCATTGTGCTTGCTATTTGGGATCTCTTTCCTTGTACCATAATCTTGTTCCATCAATTTTTCTTGAGGAAACTATGCTCGAATTCTACTAACTCATTCAAACATTCTGTCCAGAATCACTGCCAAAACTCTGCAAGTGCGTCACACGCAATTCAGCTCTCCCTTAGAATAGAATTCTCCGCAATATCGTCCTTAGGTCCTGAATAGAATTCTCCGCAATATCGTCCTTAGCTCCTGCGCTTTAAACTGCTGACTCAATATCAGGTTTCACCTGAGTAGGGTTAGAAGGATTTATCCTAGGCTGGTACAGCTTCAGTTGTGCCTGGAACCTTCCTCTAAGCCTTTGCAGCTGTGTAGGCTTCACCAGTAGGGAACAGCGGGGAGCCTTTAAACAGTGTTGCTATGAGAGAATATTAACTCCTCAGAACGCTCGACCATTTTCAACGCTCCGGAATGGGGTCCCCATATTACCCGGTACCGGTTTAATTTCTGACTCCCCCTTAATAAAGGCTTGAAAACCACGAGAAGTAATATTTTTACTCGTCGAGGTGTACGGCTGGAGTTTCCCAGTCAGTGTAGGGTCTTGTTTCGCGGAGTCTCCTTTTGTCTCGGCGATTTCCCTTGGTGCCGGCTGGTTGTGACGTTTTAAATTCGCGCCATCATATTCTCCTTTTTTCACCCTCTCTGAATTTGCCACGTTGTTCGTTTTCTGCTTCGGGGGTGCTGAACTGTTCTTGCCCTTCAACTCCGCACGTCTATTCTTCATTTTCCAACACACCAATATACGATGTACTGTAGCGCCGCAAAGTCCGCACGTCTCATTGTTTGCTAGCCGCTGCGTCGCATCGTCCTTGTCGTTCTCCATCGGGTTCGCAGTTGTGGGTGGTGCCAATCGCCCCATGCCACTATTTGGCTTGTTGCGTCGTGTTCCGTAGTAGCTACTGTTCAACGCGTCGAACTGTTCGATCACTGCTGCCCGAAACTGTGTCCACGTCTCTTCTGTCAGAAACAAGAAGTGAATGAACTAGACAACATTCCGGTACAAGTATGAAACCCTAAAAATTGTGTACCCCCTATAGGCTAACCCACTATAGCCTACACAGCTGTAATACATATATAGTGTTTGACACACCCCTATAGGCAAAGTGGGGGAGAGTAAGGGGTCACTGTCAGAATCCCAACCACTAGACCATTGGGATAAAAGGGCTTGTTTTAGTAGCGGGTCAGTGCGCCCATAACCCCCTAGGCAAACGCGCCTGTAACCCCCCCTAGGATCGATCGGGGATCTCACAGTGTAGCTCTACTGACACCCCCCCACACTGGGAGGCCCAGGACTGAGCACAGTGGCAACGGCCAACATGTGCTTACACCGGGATTTGAACCCGAGACTGCTCTGATACCATGTCAGAATCCCAACCACTAGACCATTGGGATTAAAGGGCTTGTTTTAGTAGCGGGTCAGTGCGCCCATAACCCCCCAGGCAAACGCGCCTGTAACCCCCCCTAGGATCGATCGGGGA